TGTCATCTTCGTGTCCCTGTCCGCGTGTATGTGTGTCCGTCTGTGCTCTTTTGTACTGCGCGGCCGTGCCCCTGCGGTCAGTAAAGCTTTCCTAAGGCAGGTGGCTGCTCCCTGTGCTGCTGTGACCCCCCGTGGGGCCACGGAAGAGGGGCGGGAGGGGAGCTGCCGGGCAGTGCTGGGACACACGCTCGGGAGCGGGGTCTCTCCAAAGCACCATGGCCAGAGGCTTCCAGCCAGCGCTGGGCTCACCCCCAGTGCCCACTCAGCTGCGACCCTGCCCTCGGTGCCAGCAGCCTCAGCCCCGCAGAGCGGCAGTGCGGGGAGTGCTGCCCATGCTGTGCTCCTCGCTGCTGCCGGGCAGCTGACATTGCTGTGCTGCTGACCGTAATGAGGCGTGGAATGGGCTTGCCACTGGTTAGGTTTCCTAGAGACTGGGGGGGCGGGAGGCGGTTCTTCCATGCATTCGTTGGTGCAGTACAGTTGCAACCTGCCACTTACCATCTACCAAACTTCATTTCCTTTGCTGCTTGGATCTACCGAACTCCCATTTCCTTCGCTGCCGTTACACGTTTCCTCAAGTCTGCCCCACCATGTAGGTAAAACCTTCAGTTACAGCAATGTTCCCTTCTGCGTGAAAACAAAGCATTAAATCGGCTGCAGCAGCTGCATCTGCCTGTGGATTACCAGGAATTGGATGAGATTAATAACCAGCTGATCTTACCAGGTAAGTAGAAAATTCCACTGCAGTTGCTGCCTTGTTAGTCAGAGGAAACCATCCTGTTGTCACTAGTCAGGACTTTTAAAAATAGAATCAAGATGCAAATTAATTGTTTTCAAGTTCATAGGTCTGCTGCTCTATTTCCTGCTGCTGCACATAGGAGTTTTATCCTCGGGCAACTACTTGAAGTAACAGTCCAGAAATCAGGGGAGAGCAGCGCCTGCTCTGACTCGCAGGCTGACAGCGTACAGTGACTTGACCTCTCCTGTAGCAGGTCACATCGTTACTGCTGACGACAGTACCATTGACAAGGATCACAGGCCAGTGGCAACATGCTCGTATTTCATAGCTGTCCCTACCTTTTTAAGGAAAGTTTGTGCTTTGAATGCCCTATAATGCATATGAATGCCCTATAACTCATACAAGTAACAAAGTAGTCACCTTTTACATTGTTTATATATGAAATCTGCAAAAATGGGGACCTTAGTATGGATTTTCCAGTCTTACCTATTAACCTCTAATTGAGAAGGAAAACTTCCACCTACTGAAAAAATAACAAAGTGCTGGACACCATTAAGTGGGTGACAGGCTTTTTAGCAGACCTGTTGCAATAAGACAAGGGGAAATGGTTTCAAGCTGAGATTCAGATTAGGCATTAGGAAAAAGCTCTTCACTATGAGGGTGGTGAGGCACTGGCACAGGTTGCCCAGAGAAGCTGTGGCTGCCCCATCCTGGCAGTGTTCAAGGCCAGGTTGGACAGGGCTTGGAGCAACCTGGTCTAGTGGAATTTGTTGCTGCCCCATAGCGAGGGGGAATTGGAGCTTTGAGGTCCCTTCCAACCCAAACCATTCTATGAATATATCATCAACAGATAATATTTATTTAAATTTTTTTTGGTGAGAGAAGTACTGAAAATGTAAATATACAGTATAGAAACTACGTAATCCTGGCTTTCAGGCAGCAAAAGCATCACCCACTTCCAACTCTTAAATCAGGAGGCAAACGCTAAATTTCTTTTGGAAAAATTGAGCTGCTTGGTAGCCAAATCCTGACTGCAGCTCCTCCTAGAACTCATATTTTAATATCTGCTTAATAATTTTGTATATAAAATTCCTAGTGGTTAATTTTCTCCCAAGGGAAAATGGATACAGAAATCAACACCCATAGTGGTGGTGAAAACAACAGCAAAACATCACAGAACAATAAATGGTCATACAGAAGTTTTTAATGTTTGATTAAATCATCACAGTAATGAGAATTTTTACTGCAATGATACGCAGCTCTACCACACTATTATAAATAAAAACATTAAGATCAATATTAAATACAGCTCTAGGCAACATCACAGATTAACAAAGAATGCATTCTTCATGAACCAGTAACTGAATGGTTTAAAAAAAATTAAAAAATGCTGACATTCCCCCTCCCATCCACCACATCTCTGGTTTTCCAAATCGGTAACTTGAGTAAGGCGCTGGAAGCTGTACGTTAGAGAACTTGTGTCGCACAGCACAGGCAAACAGCCTTCATTATCAGAATTTCTGATCTATGTTTTACATGTCAAGAGGGGAAGCTTAGCAGGTAAGAAGAGAAGAGATGCACGATTTCTATGCAGTACTCAGCATCCATACTGAAATGCTAAAACACAGCAGGGGTGTGAACTGCACTTTAATTCAGTCAGGATCAAGAATCGGGTGCATGCTAATACAGTACACAGCTGTGTTTTATGAGAGCATCAGCCACGGTGGAGGTTTCAAACTGACTTAAAGCAGGGTTTATAGGTGTAGTGTGTTTGTATTCTTACACTGTATTAAAAAAAAAAGAGACACCAGAAATGGGCAGCATGGCCGCCTTGCAGAGCTGCCTCTGAGTGGCCAAATCCTGCTCATTATGCAGCCTCCTCTGCAGAGTTCCTTCAGGCTGATGATGCAACATAAGAGCTATTGAACCACAAGCACTGACTTCACATGGAGGAATACAGCTGGTTCTGCAATCTTCCCATCTTAGCACAGCCCGATGCCCTCTTTCAGGGGCTTTCTTAATACTGGGGGGATAACCATGAATCCACTGGCATGCTTTGCTTCCTACTGGTTCCTGTTGCTGCACGAGATGAGATGATAAGCTGTAGATGGCAGTTTTTTATACTCCAAAAAATTGGTAAAACAGCAGAGTACTTTACAAAGCACAGGTATTGCTCTGCAGTTGTCAGAAGTACCAGACTGCCAATTCAGTATCATACTATACTTAAAATCATACCGAGTACTTTGCAAATAAAGACAGTTGAGGTAACTGCTGAATGCCTCAGAGGTATCTAGGATTGTTATCTTGGACTTCTACCATTTATATTCTTGCAACTTTTGCAGTCTTGTGGGTATAATTGTTTAAAGAAGGAAATTTTACCTAGCTCCATATCAGAAAGCATGATTTTTGTCAGCCAGATTTCTTGATTTCCCTCCCCCCTCCCTACTTTAGGCTTACAGCGTATTGTCTTTTCTCCTCTGCATGTACTTGTGGTGGCTTGTTAAAATGACTACGAAACAAATTAATCTAGTGAGGGGGAAGGTTAGGGATCTGCCAGTTCACCTGCCAGCATGTGTGCTGCTGCTGAATGTTGAAGTCCTGCCAGAGTTTCAAGTACTGGATTCGGTTCTGCCCTGCTGCTCATCTTCTGTGGCTACATATCATTTACACCTCTATATACTTGGAAAAGAAAAAAGAAAAAGCAGTCTAATACTTACAGTTGCTTTCTTGCTATTGTTTTTAAACCCTGTAGTTTTTAAAAATAAGATTTTACTATTACTGTTCCAGTTATCTGCTAGTAAAGGGAAAAGGAAACCTCAAGGTAACGGCAGTGAGAGTTATATTTGAAAATTATCTTGTGTGTGTTGGATCATACAGAAACCATTTTGTTTGAACCCTTCATCTAGTTGTAAACATTTACTAATCCTCCATTAGTTGCAGAGGATTATGAATTATTCTATAAAATCACATTAAAAAGGTAATTAGTTATGTGAGATATTAACTGATTTATATTTAATAATTTTTAATCCATACAAATATAAATAAAGAATGGTAAAACTTCAAGAAAAATAACATACATTTAGTGCAAGTTATGAGTTACATTTCTTCCTACCATGTCAGCAGTGGAACATCTTTTGTGGAGAAGAGAAAAATAAAAATTACCTTTCCCAAATTTTACAGGGGGGGAAAAAAGAGCTCCAGTGTTGTAGCATGCAGTTTTACCAGATACACGTATACAGAATTGTTCCAGCTCTTAACTAGTAGAATAGCAGTATTTATCCTTATACTGCACACCACTGGTATATATCATAGTGTTTTCAATAATACAAAAATTGCATAAGACCAGGTCACATTATTGATATTTTCTGCAGCAAAACCAGTATTTTCCTTTGAAACGCTCATTTCGTCTGATTTTAGTTTTTTCTCCTACCCTGACGGCACATGGGTTGACAGGAGCCCTGCAGGTGTTACCTGTTCAGTCTGGTTTTGTCGCAGTGCATCTGTACCGCCCCAAGCGTTTCAGGATGTACAAACTTACACGATTAATGGCACAAGAAAAACCTCCCTTCTTGTGATCAAACCTCAGTAACTCACAGTACATCTCAATATGAGAAACAACTGCTTCGAAAGGGCACACCAATTTTAAAGAGGCTTTGTTACGGCTCAGGAGAGAGAGAAATAAAGCTCTTCTGGAATGTAGAAAGGTGACGTGTAATAATTAATACGTTTCATGAGTTAACACAACAGTTTCAATGGTGAAAAGGGCAAGACCTTTCAGTCTCCGTAAGATGGCTCGATTCGGAACGATCCCTCCAGAAACAGGGACTAAGAACACATCTCTTCAATGCTGAAGTACCAGGCTGGGGCTGGAGAATTGCGCCACCTCGCACGGCTTGCCCTCTGCACTATCATGGCAGACCTGACGTCTCGGGACGCATCCAGTGCAGGACAGCAGCTCTCCCTTCCCACGCTCCCATCAGCCTTCCTCCTTCTCGACACATATTCCCCCACACCAACTCCTGATTTCCAGCAGCACTGTCACACAAAAACCCAGCTCTCGTCTCTGATCTTAGAAGCATCCCCCAGACTAAAGTGTTGTGCTATTCAACAAATGAACCTCCTCTTCCGTTTCCTCTCTCTCCTCAGCTATGGGTTTCAGTTGAACATTATTGAGGCGGGGTCTTGGTTTGCCGTCTGGGCCATATGACGGAGGATATCTTTTTTTGTTATAATGCCAAGGAGGCGCCTGAAAAGGATAAATGGAAAATCGGCATTAATCCAAGCAGGAAAATAAATAAAGCAGAACAAATCTGTAGCCAAGTCCTTTTTGTTGACAGGAATAGAGCAAAAGTAAAAAGCCTGATTTTCTTATTTAGACACGAACATTTTATTAATTGAAATATTGAGGAACCACCCGTTTGTTAAAAGGCGGCAATGCTGAGACACCGTATCGGATGGTCTCTGACAGCTGTTGTCTGTTTTAATGAAATACAAGTAATACAAGCAGAGCCCGTGACAATTTTTTATTTAACTTTTTGTTTCTACAAAAATGAAATTTTGATTAGCGTATGCCAACAAAAAAGTAACAAAAGAGGGACAAAGAGAAAAGAAGCATGAAAAAGAAGTGATATTGATCCCGTTTCGTAAGAGAGGCATGTTCCAACCTAGCCATCAGAACTAACATACCGCCTGATGGCCCAAAATCCTCAGAGCAAATCAAACTCCCCTTCCCTCCATCTATAAATTGCAATGATCCTTCCAGTCTGATGCACTGGCTCAGGCTGAACGTGTTCATAGGAGCACACTGTATGGGCCACAAAGGTTTTGTAAAACACACGTTAACCAGGGTTTGGAGTTCACTGCTTTAGAAAACAAATTCAGAATAATAGAATAGAATTTTCATTTTCCAATTTTGACACTGTGCTCTTATGACAGGGTCTTCATGGCTTTAAAATTATAACTGCGAAATACCAAGAACATTGAGTCTGTCCAAAAGGATATTATCACAGGAGAAGCAAAGAGCAGAATGAATGAGCTGCTGCCCTTGTTACTGTGGTTAGTACATTTCAGTTTGTCTTATTAAAGGACGCATGAAATACTTGTGAAATATTAGCATAAAATGAGAACATAATTAGCATGTTTTGCACATAAGCAGCTAAACTTGGTGCGTATGTTTAGTAGAGAGGTAACTAGCAACCCATGTCCGAATTAAGACAAAGTCTACCATCTGGCTAAGGTTAGTTCACAACATCATGGTTAAAACAGTATCTATCAATCAATCGATTCTGAAGTCAACAGTCAGCATAGTAGCTGCCACTTGGTGGCTTAGGATATCACCGAACATTTTATAAAGGAGCACATTAATTGCTGCAGGGAGCAGCAGCAGAATCACAGGACTTTACATAATATCACAGGAATTCACTAAAAATAAGAGTACTTTTAAAAATACCACATTGATCAAGGGGGATTACAGGGAGGATCTAATGCTGCGATACATTAAAAACATGCTGGGTTTTGCTTCTCAAAAGACAAGACACTTACTTTGCTATCTGACAGCTATTTAAAGCTGTCAAGGTCAGAAAAAGAAATTAGCATACATGAAAATCTTAATTTGCATTATTAATCAGGGAAAAGGTATTCCTAGCTGTGCACTTTCCCACCTGGGGAAATCAGCAGATCAACTGCATGGATCTATGTTACCTCAAGCACAAAAGTATCAGAAAGTCTCGTTTACTTTCCTTTAATGTTGTGACTAACAGTACATCCGTATTAACAATCAGCTTCATTTCTACCACAGGATTTTGCACGTGTTGTTTTATGGTTTAATAGAAAGTTTTAGCATAAGATGATTTCATTGTTCAGCCGATGTCATAAAAGCCCTGAACAGTTCACAAGTTTCATGCTTCCTGACTTCTAATGTGTCTAATTATGAGATCTGATATATCTAATCACCAAGGGTTCGACGTGCTGCTTTAGTTGCTCGAGATGCTCTAATATGTTCTTCTTTGTGATGATCCCCAAGACAATCCTGAAACAGATCATGTTATGCTAATAACTGTGTGTGAAATCAAATAAAAAAAAAGTTCTATAATGAAAAAGGATTAGAACAAAAATAAAATAAAAGAAGAATGGCTGCAGGAAAGCTAATGAGATGATTCAATGAAAAATGACTGGAAAGTCAGTACCCCTTTCCCAGATACTGCTTTTTTAATTTTCCTCCCAAAATGCTGAACACAACTGGATCTTCAACCACTCCACAGAAGTATGTTGCTCAGATCAAGTACATGGCAAGTACTTCATCCCTTCTCCCATTCACATCACTTCAGGTTTTAAGAGGCCCTGAAACCAAAATCTATTTATTTCCTTGGTTTAAACAGTTACTTCTCCTCACACATACAGATAATTATTCACAATTTTAACAAACCACAATAAATGAACACAGTAATAACTGTGTAAAGTCACAGCAATTGAGGTTTGAGGCTGCTCTACAGAGCAGTGTTACCTGGTATGCCACAAACAGACAAATTCAAGACAGATTTCTAATTCATGACAGTATAATCAAGAGCAACTCCCTGGAATGGGTATTCTGGTACAAATATAGGAAGAATGAGACTCAGTCTTTTACGTAATTCTCTGTCTGTCACCAGCACCAATTTCTGCACAGTTCCTGTTCCAGTATGGATTGGAACCAGTACATTGATGTGTGTCTTTATGTGGGGATACTCAATTTGCGGGGAATTTGCCAGAACAGGTTAGTCCTTGCTGCCCACATGGCTGTATGCCATAGCCAACTACCACTAGTGCTTTACTTATACGATCTTGTAATGGACAGTATGCTCGTGGTACATCACAAGGTTGCAAATCAAAGCAGGACAACAAAAATGAATGTCTGAAAACAGCAAATGCTTAAAGCCATCCATACTAGCTGCTGCTTTATCATAAAACACTTCAAAAATTGAAGTACAGTTTGACATAGACTTGCACGATTAGGCTTTTTATAGAGTTGATTCTAACATCAATGTCAGTGTTTGAGCACTTAACCACAACAGAAACTAAGAAAAAAAATCATCACAGTAAATATTCTTCACTGAAGTTCTATCAGTTCATTTTCCCTCCCCAAAACAAGAATATTTGCACAACTGCACTGTCAGATCATGATGTCCTCTCCCCATGTTAAGAAAGGTTTTTAAAGTCATTTATGCTTCTGAAAGCATGCACTTGCCATTCAGTACAGGGATGCATTAAAGAAAAAAGCAGCAGGAGAACATTTACAATAAATTTGTTTTAAAATACACCTGAGAAAACAAACTTGTAAACCAATGCGATATTTGAGTATTTGCCACTTATAGCAGCATTCCTTTTGCCCACAGCAAAGCAAAGGAAGTCCTACCCCTCTTTCAGGTTTCTTGAGTTTTGTCCCATGGACATAGATCCTAAATAAGGTGGATTAGCAGGCTGTGTTTCACTCCCCAGGTACCTTCAAAGACATGCTAAAGAGAAAGCAAGACACTGGTAGGAGCTGCAGTGTGTGTCAGGTGTTTAAAGCATGAGATACAGGAAAGCAGAATGTTACAGCAACAGCTACACAGAAGAAGGTCATGTAAAAAAAAAAGTAATAGTTTAGATACGAGACATCTATAATGAACATTTATGTTTCCATGCCTAGGGCTGGTTTATTTAGTGGGTAATCACATGACAACTCCCTATAGTCTCATTTACAAACATTCTAAAATTGCTTTCTTGAAATGCTTTAACGTGTAGAAAGAAAAGCTGCAGATTGAAGTTCCAGAACTAGTAGCAGTTACTCAGTTGTTAGTATTCTGAAACCAAGAGCTTGGTGATAATCACCATCACTGAACTCCGTAAGAGGAGACAAAGACTGGATCATTTTCTCACGCTATTTTTTACAAACCCCAGATACTTGCAGATGTTCAACAGGTGACACATTGCGCAGAACGTAGATAAAAATGAGGAAATGCAGGCCTTACACTGTGCACCACACAGCTACATTGTCTTGTGTGGTGCACACACAAAACTTAACTCAACGAGAGTGAGTTTCTAACAGAACATCTTAAAATAAATGAAATCACCTGCCTGCTTAGGTGGAATATGAGGGAGAGGTAAGAATTTAAGAGTTGTGTCACAGCACAGCACCTTAAAGAACAGTTAGGATCAGTTGCAATACCAAACTTACGGGCTCAAATACCGTCATCCTGGAACATATCCTGTTCAAATACTCTGATCCTGGAAGTGAAAATTACTGTATCTAACAAAATGAGCGATGTTGCTGTCACTTAACTCACCCGTTGTGTGTTACAAGGCACTGCCTCAGACCCAGCTTCCGGAAAATATCCACCACTATTTCCATTGGGGTGTGGTCTGTCACGGTGAAAGGGCTCATATCCAGTATGCTCCTAAGCTTCAAAGGCCGAGGGCTTTCTGCTGGAAGCGATGGGGTATGCTGGGCAAAACAGACCCTGGAGCTGCCAACAATCCCTTCCTGCTTCTTTCTAGCACTTTCTTTAAGAAAAAGAAGAGGGGGGGAGGGGGGAAACAGCAGAGGAGGAAGAGTTTATATTCTTGGAGTGAGATAAGTTAGTGCAAACAGACAGATCAATCAACATTACCAGAGTCTGATCTTATTCTCTAGATGCTGAGACTCTGATATATGCTATTTTGATGTGTTTCCAAAGCCACTGCTCTACCCCTAGTTAAGAGTGCAGTAATCACAAAAGCCACCTACACACAGCTTTAGCCATTCTTCAGCTAATACCTTCCTCTCTCCAATAAATAACCTTTATTTACTCTAAAGAGGTGGAAGGACTTTGAGAATAACGTGCAGGAAGCACACAGACAGCTGCTAAAGAAACTGTCAAGGGGAAAACCAATCTCAGCTGTCAGTTCCCATGTCATGATTCCAACAGCTGGAATTACTGTGGATTTGAAACCAAAGAACTCATTTCTGACCACTCTGAAAATGTTGTCTTCTTGTTTATAATGAATTTATAAACAAGCTTCTTCTGAACTGGCTCTGCCTTTTCACACCTTCATCACCTCAGTGACAAGAGCATCCCCCCCATACCCTGAACTATTTCATGCAAGGACTCTCTTAAGCCAGACAAAATCCAAGACTAAGCAACTTGCACCGTGTGATCTCTGAATGAGCAGCTGAGATGAGTCCCACCTGTGAAAGTGTATTAAAATAATGTTCTGCTGTTCCCCCTTTAACTCTGAAGTAAATGCAAACTTACACCAGTATGATGTCTAAAATAGTTTCACAGTTTTGGACACTCCTATACATCCTACACAGTGTAATACCATAGTATACACAGTATTAAGACTACAGGCGGAAGTTTTTTTACTGAAGTAAACAGTGTTGTGTTCACAAAACTTTTTTGTTTTTAAAGTTTCGGGAGACTCTTGTTTCTTTTTCTCAAGTATCTGTTAAAGAGATTATTGTCAATGCACAATCTTATCAATTAAAAAAATAAAAAAAAATAAGTGGTTTAAGATGCAATTTTCATCCAATTTTCATGCACAAAATGTTACAGGTTTGTAACGTTTCCTTACATAGCAGTGATTTTTTCCTCTGGTTATGACAGCATCCTCAAAAACCCACAGCATTTTTTTTACCAGTGCTCAAAGCACTGTCACAAGTGTCATACAAGTTCTAACACGCACCCAGAGAAAGAGGGCCCAAACAGGGCTTGTGTGCTCGTGTCCAGAGCCAGATTTCCCATTACACAAACAAACTGAAAAGCAGAAATCTAAAGTAATAAATATTCCACTTATCTCTCCCTAATACAATTTCAGTTGTAACAACTGTCACAGAGAAATACAACATACATTTAAATTTTAAAATTACTTGGACAGTAATTCTCATAGAATCCTGCTGTTCGAAACTAGTGCAGCGTCACTTGAGGAAAAGAGATATTAGCAGGCCAGGCTGGATGGAGCTTTCAGCAACCTGGTCTGTGGAAGGTTTCCAGGCAGTTGGAACTAGATGATCTTTACGGCCCTTTCCAACCCAAACCATTCTGTGATTCATTCTATGAAAAGCCTCAAAACATACAAAAATACAGAACTAGATGATGTTTTGGTCTACTTCAATATGATGTGTTTTTATGATAAAGAGATTAACGTTTTCCCATTTCAAAGCTTGCTACTTAAGATAGTCATATACCTCAATAAAGGAACAGCCAGCCTGTGCAGGGTATCTGAACCTGAAGTGAGTCTAGAAACATTCAAAGTAAATTCTGTTTTAAGCTATAATTTAAATTGGTATACATAATCATGCAATACTGGAAGATAATTACCTATTGCAATAGTTAAATCTCTTCTTAGAGCAAAGCCCACTAGTCTCTGTGATTCTTTTGACATAATAACAGGAAAACCATTATAGCTGGTTTCGTTGATCAAGTTTTCTATGTCTTCGACTGTCATATTATCCTGCGTCAGAACTGCTAAAGGTGGGTCGCTTCTCCGAGGTCGCATAACATCAGCAGCCAGTGTTGTGTGAGTGAATTCTTCCTTTGCATCCAAGAAAGGATATCCATTCAGTCGGATGTGTGCCTCATATATGCCTTCCCTACCAAAGGCATCTCCTACCCACTTACTGGTCATGACTGCAGCCATTAGGGGCACAATATATTCCAGCCCTCCTGTTAGTTCAAAGACAATAACTACGAGGGACACAGTCATCCTTGTCACACCACCTGCAACAAAAAAGTGGTAAATGATAGCCAGTAACATCCTGGAATGAGATAACAATGAATTCAGAATTTCCTGCCTTCCTGTTGAGAACTACTGAAGTACCTTTGCCATTAAAGGTTATCTGACAAGCATCATTCTGTATAATACAAACAAAAGCAGACAGGAATAACGAATAAAAAGCTGTTAGAAGTAAAAAAGAAAGCTTTAAGGAAAATTCCTAGAAAGCGAGAGAATGACAGGATTTGAAAAATACATGCAATTGGTTTGTGTAAATTAAGAATAAAACTGTATTTCTGCACACCACACCTCGTGTTAAAAATACTGTGAAATGCAAGGAAACCCAGTAAGGTAAGAATATGGTAAAAGAATGGAACAACTGCAGGGAAGTCACAGGTAGCAATTCAACAGCTATGTTGTCCAAAGGATTAGGAACTTAATGCTGTTGTTGAAACATAAAAGCTAAAGAGAATTCTGAGCTGATGAAAAATGTCTTGGACAACGAGAGGAGGAGGGGATTGTATTTCTCCTCTGTTAGTACTCAGGATGGGTTTTTTCTGCCAAGGTTTCTGATGCCGTATCTTCATTCAGGGAAAGAACAGGATCTTCCTTTCAATGCATTCAAAAGTGATTCAAGTTGAACTATTAACTATTAAACCAAACAACCTCTCAAAAAAACTGCATTTGTACCACTAGTTTATTTCATCACTCAAACGCATTTCACCTTAAAGAAAAGGTCTTCTTTTTGCAGAATCCGTACTAATAGGTTTTAAGCTTAATTTCTAAAGTTAATGAAGTTAAAAGCTAGGACAAAAGAAGGCCTTCAAAAAAACCTGTCCTAGTTTAGATGCCCAGCTTAAGCCTCTTTCCATTATGCTGATTTTCAACAGTTTGTAATTCAGACTTGTTAAGAACACCTCAAGCTGGACTTCCCAAATCATTAGAAACTCCTGAGAGTTTTGTTTGGATTATGAATTCCAAGAACTTTTTTTGCACATCATGCAGCTGCGCAGCTGATCACGTCACCTCCCTGTCAGAATTTCAACAGTACTTGACTTTGCAAATCCTCTACTTCATACATTTCACAAAACTGGTTTTTCAGACTGGTGTAGTAATGACATCTCTTGATGCCAAAGGGAGAAAGCAAACACTGCTGTTTAAATTCTTATCAACTTAAATTTCACATGTTATTCCTCAGATCACAAGGATCTGACAGTCTCGTGTAGAGATGTGAATGTATTATTCTGAAAAGAGAGAAGTCCAAAACCAAAATGGTGTTCCAAAACTGCACATGTTTCTATCTCTTTTAATTTTTTAACTATTATTTTGGCAACATACAAGAAATCAGATACTTATTTGTAATATTTTATTTACCTAAGCATGCAGCAGCGCCAACCATGGCGTAAAGACCAGGTGTGATACAGTCAGCGCCGACTTCACACCACTCCTTGAAAATGAACCAGTCATGGTGGTAGTAAGCCAGCTGCTCCACTGCAATTCCGACAATCCTTCCCGCTATCGCTCCAATTGCCATGCTAGGTATGAACAACCCAGATGGAACCTGCAACAAAACCAGAACTGCTGTCATGCTGATGGGAACACACCTGATGCATCGTTTTACAAGCTTGGTTTTTTTCCAAGGGATACAAATGCTCACACTGCCAACCACCCTCACAGTAAACAAGTGTTTTCTTACACATGCAGTTACATGGAACAGCCATGTAGACTGAGAAGTTATGTAAAGCCAGTTTAAACGCAAATCCTGCTTAGTGCACATTCTGTAATACATTTGTGTTAAGACATGATTGATAGTGATGTAGTTGCAAAAGCTATGAAAGGAGCCTGACAAGACAGAAAGTGATGAAGGCATGACAGTTCTATGTCATTCAGAAAACTGCCACAGATTGGAGAGAAGCTGAAGAGAGCTCTAAAACAGATTTATGAAATGAGCAGGAAAAAACCAAAAATGACAACGCTTTGCAATAGAGAAGAAATTCCCATTACAGTCACAGGACCAAAGCCTGCTTTCTAGTCACGACACGCAACACTGGAAAGTTCAGTAAAGAAACCACCATCAGCTTTGGACAGTCTACAGTAATGACATTCATATGACAAATGAGGAGAGAGGATTAAAAAATCCCAAACTACAAGTTGATCAAGAGGTTCGGTCTTTCCTCCTTCCATGTACCAGGACTAGGGAACCTGAGTGGTGGTGTCTGAACTCAGCTCTCAGGCATTTTAGAATCATCCTTACTTGCTGAATCAGGCCCATACAAACAGCCATCCATGCACCTCGTTACCATTCCCTATTAAATTTACCATGTTTCTATTCAGCTGAACAAAAGGCTAGTTTGAATTTAATGAAACTTAATATTGTTTTCTTCAAGGCTTGCTTATTAGTCAACAGGAAAAAAAGCTTTTTTAAAAAGAAATACGCATTTTAAAAAAATCTATAAACAAAACTGCTGGCTTTGAGGATGGAAAAGAGAAAGGCAGTAATTAAATAATCACAGCAGATGATACAGCCAGTGCGTTCACACTTACCTTGATACCAAAGGTGAAGACTGTCATGATTATTTTAAATATGAGTGCTAAACACAACTGCCATATAGCTGAATAGACTCCAGTGCCTGCTGGACGGTCAGGAATATCATCTACTATTTTGCTCGCGTTCATATCATTTCTGTAGTCACAGAGGGAGGAGGATTCTAATGGCCCACAGTCTGTGAAGAGCTCTTTAATAAGCTCACTGGTGTTTAGCCTTGTATATGGATTAGGAAATGCAATGACAGCTGTTATTGCTGCAACGATAATAACCTCCAGGACAGGATACTTCCCAAATCTTGTAGATTTGCGCCGACGACACCATGCAATATTTGCTCGGATGAAAAACGCTCCCCAGAGCCCACCAAATACTCCCAGAAGAATAAAAGGAAGCAGTTCAAAAAGGTACCAAGGAGTGTGATATTCCACATAAAAAAGAACTAGGCGGCTATTACCAAAAGGATTGATGGACCTTAAGACAAATGCAGCTACTAAAGCAGCAAAAAATGATCTCCATAAAGTTTTCAATGGGAAATAGTAACTGACCTGTAAAAGGTAATACATGAGAATTATTAGTGATTCGATTCAAAATACTGGAAAGACCATTTTATGCATGTGTTACAGTACTGCTGCTGACATAGTAAATGCTACAAACCCAGTGCTCTTACTTTATCAGTATTATTCCTACCCCTTGGAGCACTGGCACTTCAGCACATACTACATTTTTTAACTGCTTGACAACAATTCATGCTTACATCAGTTTTAAAGTCAGTACTAAAGCAGTAATGAAACCACTGCTGGTTTAGGACTGTTAGGAAATAATGTATAGTAATTTATATTTAAAAGCTTCCTGTTTGTAAGTATCTCTTTTGAGAATTCATGAGAAGCAGATTGTGTACTAGCTGCCCTCTCAAATTTCCTGCTAACACTGTTTCATCTCCATTCAACCTACAGTGAAACGTTTCTGGCAGATGTTATTTTTATGAAATATGATTAAAACAGAAAAAAACATAATCCTTAAAACAGAACATTCAATTTCATACTAAAGCCCCACATAGCCTGATTTGAATTTCAAAAGAATTTTCTTCTGGAAGTCTTTTTTGCACCAAATGAATTCCTCAAAACACCCGTATGATACAGGAAAATATACATGACAAAATATTTTGCTTCCTTTTTTCAATGTACAGATTTTTAGTTTTCTTTAAAAGTGCTGATGAGCTAAATAACATCCTTGTGTACTTTGAAAACAACTAAGGAAAACTAATTTAACACAAAACATTTCTTGGAGAAGAGGGCTTGGTTGCCTTGGCAGTCAGTTTTATGGCATATTTGCTTTTTAATAATTAACATCTTCAATTATCTTTAGTGCCTGAAACTTTAAGAGAAGTTTAAAAATGTTTAAAAACTTGCTCCCCGAAACTGTCAAATAGGTCTCTAAAGCCTCTTTCAAAGTGGAAAAAAAGAAAAGAAAAAAAGCCTGATTCTTTTAATAACACTCCTAGAGTGAAAAACAGCTGGATCTCTATCTGTATGTAAACTGTAATTATTAACTGACTCAGCCTTTCTCCAGAAAAAATATAACCGAGAACAAAGCAAAGCTGACATTCATCCAAAGAAACGAAACGGTATCTTTAGGATTTTGTGGTAACAAGACTCTTGACTTTGAAATGAGGGTCCAAAAATAATTTCCTTCTTAAGACAGACTCCTTAGCAGCTTAAAGGAGTCCAAGATTATTCATGCTTAAAGAGATCTTTTTAAATATCTATCCTTCAGAGCCACCTCTTGACATACCTCCTCCAGACTGAAAAGGACTCCACCAATTGGGGCACCAAAGGCTACAGATACTCCTGCTGCTGAAGCAGCTGACAACACCTGGAAAAGAACAATGGTGAGGGAGCTTTTTGCTTTACAGTTACCAGCTTCTTCTGCATTTCTATCACGCACACACAGACTTGCTAACCAAAAAGCATCAAGTACGTCTATCAGAATGCTCATAAACTGTGGCCAGTGGCCACAGCAGCCACTGATAAGGTACTACCCATGACTAAGCCAAGGACGCCGCTCAAAGCCTCCCCAGAAAAGCACCCAAAAGAGTCTATGCTTCAGTATGAAACTGCTGATACTTCATTTTCAAGAAACTGTCCTAAGCTTTCCCTGGGCTAAAATAGGGAATTCCACTGAGTCATAAGTTAAACAAGTGGGACAGAAGAGCAAGTTGGCCAAATAGGGAACTACTTGTGGAGCTCAAGAGGAAAAAGAAATTGTATGATCCCTGGAAGCAAGGTCAGGCTTCACAGGAAGATTACTAAGCTGTGGCTCATACATGCAGGAAAAAAGGCCACAAAAGGCCAAAGCTCAATGAGAGTTCACAGAATCCCAGAAAATGAGGTTGGAAGGGTTCTCATGGATCCAACATTGAAACTGGCCAGTGTTGTGTCAGGTAACAAGAACGAGGTTTTTTTATGTACATTAATAGCAAGAGCAGGTTTAAAGACAGCATTGGACTGATACTTGTTGAAGACGGTCACCTGACTAACAGGAATTAGGAAAAAGCAGAGACATTCAATGCAGTTTTTGCCTCAGTCTAATAGTACTGACAGACCTTGGGCTGCCCAGTCCCCTGAGTCAGAGAACCACAAGTGTGGGAACAGCAACTTTCCATTTGTGGATACTGAAATTGTAAGGGACCAGCAGTATCAGCTGAATGTTCACAAATCCACGGGGCCTGACGGGATTCCTCCCAAGTGCTAAAGGAGCTAGTAGATGTTATCGCAAGACCCCTCTCAATCATCTCCCACAGGTGCAGGCAGTCTGGCCAGGCCCCCTGCTGACTGGAAATAAGCCAATGTTATTCCAAGAAGGGTGTTGAGGGAAGATCCAGGAACCTACAGACCTGTTAGCCTAACCTCGGTTCATGGGAAAATTATGGAGATTATACTGGGTGCTACTGAAAGGCATTTAAAATATAATGCAATCATCAGGCACAAGCAACACAGGTTCACAAAAATGTCCTGTTTAACTAATGTATTATCCCTCTATAAAGGATCCACCCATCTAGTGGATGTAGGAGTGGGTTATTTTAGTAAAGCTTTTGATACTATCCCTCACAGCATCCTTCTGGACAAGTTGTCCAGTTGTGGGATGAGCACGTTCATGATGCATTGGGTGAAGCGCTGGCTGAATGGCTCAAAGCATTGTAGTGAGTGGGGCTACATCTGGCTGGGAAGAAGGGAGACTGGGGGCAAGGTGGTTTTGTGTTTATTTCTCACCATCCTAGTCTGTTATTAATTGGCAATAAAGTTATCTTCCTCAAGTCTAGTCTAATTTGCTTGTGATGGTAATTGGTGACTGATCTCTGTGTCCTTATATGGACCCAGGCAGTTTTCATCTTAGTTTCTCCTGCTGTCTTGGTGAGGAGGAGAGGTGAGAGACCAGCTTTGTGGGGACCAAGGCTAACCCATGAGACTCTCACTAACAACAACAACTGCTGTCAACAACCCTTTTCTAGTAATACTTTATTCACGGGTTCAAAAGTCATCCGATGTCCTCAAAATTGAAGACAGTCATCAATTACCAAAACATAGAACCAAGAACAGAAAGAATTTAAGTAAAGTCAAGTGGTCTCTGAGGTGGAAGAAACGCAAACTTACTTACTCTGACATGGAAACAATTTACCTTGGAGAATGCTAGGGATAATACATTATTTTTAACACAATAAAGAACTAAGCCGACTTATTGTCTGATAGAAAAAATATTGTCCTTTAAACAAACCAGTGTAAATGCATGGATATTCAACACATTCTAGAAATGCTTTTACAAGAACTTACCTCTCTTTTTTTAGCTTCATTTGTGCTGTACTTTGGAAAGAGGTAGGAAAAAATATTCCCACAGCAGCAGGCAACATGTACCAAGGGACCCTCTTTTCCTAAACTCAAACCTGATGCGACAGCCAAAACTAAAGTAATTGTTTTTATCATCAAAGTCCACTTCCCCAAGTAACCTCTGATGATGAAGCCACTCAAAATAGTTTTTATCTGGAAGAAATAAAAAATGACATCTGTTATTGCATTCTGCTTTCTGCAGAAAATAACTAATTTAATCATGTTAGCTGCTTAAGTTCAAAAATAGCCTTTTCAAATGGCTACCTTTATCACAGTTTAAAACACGTATCATTCAGATTGCTACATTGAGCCCATTTGGTTGCCAGAGGCTTTCCATTTGCAACTTACTCTAAAACACTGGACAATAACATAAAACATCATTATTAATTACATTTAGAAGAAAATTACTCAGCACTAGCTTCTAAGACTGCATTCACTGGTTTATGGTATAAATTAAGTGAAAGTTAGAAAACTCCTGAAGGAAAAACGAATGTGCAACAACTACACTCAAGATCATCTATTGTAGGAATATCACATTTGCACCCATTTTACCCCTTTCTGTTTTCTCCTTATGTTTTACCACCTCTACACAAAAATTTACGAGTAGATGCCTTGACATAAGGATGGAAAAGATCAGAATTTTTCAAACAGAAAAGATGTGCCACTTACCTAAGGTATTACTTTGCCTAACAGTGTCATGTTATTACCCTGGAATATATGCCCAGATACAGGAAATAATATAGTTATCATAGGAAAGGACAACATGTCTATAAATACAACGTACACAAAACACTGGGCAGCAGTGACTAGAAGTAGAGGTTAGCTAAATTTGGAAACCAATTTAGGATGAAATCTCTTCTGGAATAATGACACAGAACTATTCCTGGCTTATTCAGAGTCAGGATTTGTCCTTCAACTTCTACAATACACATACATAAAGAAGTATTTACAGAATAACTAGAGACTGATCAGACTTTGACTTCGGGTTTTTCCCTCCCATCCTGTGTACAGTAGCAGACAGCAATTATAAAAACAGAGAGGATATTACACATTTCACTGTGATTGATGGTGTGATTTGGAGTTAAGGCAATTGAAGCCAGTGCAACAGAAGATCAATTGCTATATCAAAGGAACCATATTCTGTGAATGAACCACTACTCTCTTATCACTGTAGAGGGTGGGGATCACGGGGAGGTTTGGAAATCATTCTTCGCAAGTACACTTTCTTAAGCTAAATGCTTCCTTAAAAAGTAGTCCACCCAGAAGCAAGAAGCAAAATCTACAAACTCAGGAGATTCTCTGATATTTGGGGTATTTTTCTCAGGAACCATTAGCACAATTTGATTATTTCAGTTTGAATACTTGTATTAATGTATTTCATCAAAGTCACAGGGCACTCCCTCTTGCCTTCCCCCAACCCTGTAAGACAGCAGG